GCAGTTGGAGGAACCCTTGAGACAATGCGGGTGTCTAACTAGGCCAGAGACTACGAACACCGAACAGTTGGCTCCTTGTCAGTATGAACCCCGGGGGCTAATTTTCCAAGCAGGAGCAGGACCGGGGGCCACTGTCCCTGAAACAGTGGCCACTAAACGTAATACAGCATAGTCAAGTGACCATATATGGTGACTGGTGCACGAGAGCGACCGTCATGAAATGATATTTCAGAGCGTCTCAGATAATTAATTTGTACCGCTCAAATGTTAGGCTGAGCACGTCTTTTTTTTAGAGCTTTGAGGCTGTCCTCTGCATGCATTAATAGCTACAGAAACACAAAAAATAGAAATTCTGCCTTTGCTCCTCAGGTCTACCAGATTCCAGTACCTCTTAATAGTGCTACAAAGGCCAATCCGTTCAATTCATCAATCTAAAAATCTCACGGGTGAAATGTACACCCGACTTCCCTCTTAATATACGATTTGGTGTACTTCAAAGATACTTCTGTCGAATGCGTCATCATTTTTGTCTTTGGCCACGATTTTGTCTCTGGCCTTTGGCCACGATTTAGTGTTAGCCGCAGGGCCGATGTTGTGCGGCCTACGGAGACTGCAACGCCTAGCGTCGAGGTTCTTTTCAAAGATGTGCGGGCATGCATGCCCAAAACTACGTTACATAATTTGTATCACATAGTAATGTTGACTAAATATTGAAAATACCCAAACAAACATTGCTTGTTCATACTAATACCAATGGCCTCTGCATCTCTGTACAGCCAAGGTGAGATTCTGACAAAGGTTCTTAGCTCTATCGATTTAGAAAGCGTCCACTGGACCATTGTGAAACGAAGAGCCAGGCGGTTCCTTTCATGCATTCGTTTAACACGCGAGTTCTTCAGTTGATTGACTAAGAAATTCAGGCAGAATTGATTTCGCGGTAGCTTCTGACTTCTGTTTCAGTGGAAGAAGGTAAGAATGACGAATAAAAAGAAACATGTTTTAATTAACAGTTGGGGCATATTCGGTGATTTTTGGTTTGAGGGAGGGGCTTTTACTAAAAGGTTGTGCTTTGTCAACTCTGTGCCCCTCCCTTGCCAAGACTCTGGCTACGAGCCTGTACTTCATATGGGGACCATCGGTTGTGGGGTCCATTCGTAAACCCTTTGCCCCCCCCCCCCCTCCTGCCCCATGGTAAAATCGGATATGCCGCTCCTGATATCAATATTCGTAAGTGAGCCTTTTCTCCACATCTGCTTGCATCATCATCGTGTATCGATTGCTTCAACATCCTCATCTGCGAGCCATTCCCTTTAAGCTGGCCAGATGCTCAATCTTCCCCAGAGTTTCCTTACAAAGCACCTACAATCAGCTGATGTAGCATGAGTCCGGTAGTATTTGACGCTGAACACACCCCGTGGTTTGATGAGACCAACGCGACGCACGCCGCATTTCTCCGCACTGCAGTCTCCTTGTAAGCCGTTCTCCGTATGCTTATTGTTCATCCGGTACTATTATTTCATTCAGTTTATATTCCTCGCATACGCAATTCTCCGAGAAAGAACTTACTCTGTGCGGCATATGGATGCATGGCTGCCTCGCCCGCGGTGCCAGTCAGCATTTCGACCTCATCTAAACAAGCCCGAGACTTGGTGGAGGAGCTTGCACTACAAAATTGTGATCGGCCCTGGGCATGGAAAGCCATGACTTTCGTCACCTTGAATTAGCGAGATCAGTGGTTTATGATATCCGACTATATATATATATATATATATATATATATATATATGTATATATATATCATATCCGATATCCGAATATGGACGTGATCCGGAACACAAACGCTGGTGGATCCTGCAGGACGACAATCAAGTTATTCAAGACGCAGTGGAGTTAGCTGATGCGCGCTGCCAAGCACAAGGTCAGGCTATTTACCCGTCTCCCGACAAGCAGATTTGGGACCAGCCAAAACAATGCTTACGAAGTCCTAGCGGAAAAAGGCATCAAGTCCATGACAAGAGCGAAGGCCCCGCTTGTCAGCCCGCAGCAGTTCAAGTCGCACACGTCGTGCGGAGCTTACGCCGGCGTCCCGTGGCTTGCTGAGCGCTGGGCAGCGTGAACAAGATGCAGGGGTGGACAGGGAGAGCTCATTTACCTATACCAGAAGTCTGGAGGTGACATACCGGACGACCGAGATCTGTACACTAGGTCAGACGTTGGCGTTCTTGGTAAGACAAGATCGCGACCTGCTGGCAAGTTGCCACGCAAGTTTGTCGAATGGGTGGCTTTCCTGAGAAGGGTATCCCTGCTGGCAATATATTCAATTTCTGACAACGTGGCTGGGACCAATGGTCTCCGTTCCCACAGCTTAGATGGCCCCCGACCATGAACCACCAGACGTGCAAGCAGAAAAGTTACTGCCTCGAGCCTCACCTGTCAGAAGTATATATATATATATATATATATATATATATATATATATATATATATTTCAGTCGTGGATATGTGTTCTGACCAAATATTACAGCGGCACGTTATGTCGGTGAGACGCCCAGACTGCTGAGGAAGTCTTATGTCGCTCACGTGGGACGTACAGAACAGCCTCCCACATGAGCTCGTCTACGGCCGGTCGAGGGCGTTCGGTGTTCAGCCACACAGGAAGCATACAGGGTCAGTTAGCAGACCACTTTCGATACCAGCGTAGTACTCACTGGTTGCTGGCCGCCGTTGACGATAAAGTGACTCGCAACAGGAGGAGGGGAGGACAGTGCGCGCTTCCTGTAGCTTGGCATGGAGCGAACTATGTTCTTCTCTGATCAATACCGCTCTACGCAAAGTGATCGACAATCTTCATGATGACATCATCAAACGCGATGCAATGCTTCTAGTTCGAACATGGTCAAAAAAGCAAGTGATGACTTGTATTTGTTGTTATTTGATTCAGAAAACATTTAGCCCGTCGATATTTTACGTGTTTATGCTATGCGTGTCAGTCTTTTGCGATCCACATTTTTTCCGGCTGTATTTACGGTGTCAACATTCTGTCTTGCAATTTCTTGGTCCAGCAATCAAAGTATGTCACAAGGTCAATCTGTTATGCAGTAACTCCATGTTTTTCTTGTACCTTATTTAGCCACACTCGTGTGGTTGTTGACACTTCTATTATGGTCATCACGTCTCCAGTCTAATGGTGGCAGGTACGCACATACACAACTACAACCATGCATAGATACGCAGCAAAATGAGTCAGCAGAAAGTCAAAACACACTACACTCACTGGTATACATAGCGATAGGGTGACGACCAGAGATTTCATCAGGCATCTAATCGCTCATATACCGTTTTGGGCTTTGCGCAGCGCCGTGCCGACACGGCGCGGGAAGTCAGGAAGAAGGAGTGAGAAGCCAGTAATGCAAAGACGGCGCATTGGAGCAGGGTCGCCTCTGGCCTGACTCTATGCGGGATCGGGGAGCGCGCAGCCGCCTGGCTTGCCTCGTGCTTCGAGGTCGGGGCGCGCCCAGCCGCCTGGCTTGCCTCGTGCTTCGAGATCGGGGCGCGCTCAGTCGCCTGGCTTGCCTCGTGCTTCGAGGTCGGGGCGCGCCCAGTCGCCTGGCTTGCCTCGTGCTTCGAGATCGGGGTGCGCTCAGTTGCCTGGCTTGCCTCGTGCTTCGAGATCGGGGCGCGCCCAGTCGCCTGGCTTGCCTCGTGCTTCGAGATCGGGGCGCGCCCAGTCGCCTGCCTTGCCTCGTGCTTCGAGATCGGGGCGCGCTCAGCCGTCTGCCTTGCCTCCTGCTTCGAAATCGGGGCGCGCCCAGTCGCCTGCCTTGCCTCGTGCTTCGATTGCGCGTCTCATTTACGTGGAAAAATGCAGCTGGTAATTTCGGGTCCTCCTGCGAAAGCACCGCGCGTAGGTCTCATGCTGCTAAAGCCCACCAACTGGCGAAGCCTCCAGCCAACCCAGTTTCCCTTGCGGGTCACATACGCCGCCCAAATTTCGTCACACACATATAATCGTATCACTCATGTTAATGGTCTTACGAATTGTAACCAAATTCTGCCGCGAGTCATTGCAATAAACTGAGGCACAGTAACGGACGAGCGAGAATACAACGGCTGTCACCAGTGAGAGTATTCTGGCAGCCGAGCACCGCAGCACATGTAAGAGACCGGCCGGGATCGCCATATGGCAGTCACACGCGAGTCCCCTACATGTAGTAGAATTTTGCAAGAATGACTACCCAGATCTGATGCATCCCCGAGCACTGCAGCACATGTAAGAGACCAGCCAGGATTCCCATGATGGCAGTCACCCGTGAGTCCCCCTACATGTAGCAGACCTTTGTAAAGATGCCTGCCCAGATCTGATGCATCCAGGCGAGAGTCACGCACATTTCAAAGCAGCCATCATTGCATGGTGCCATGACCGCGAGACAGGAGGCGACATGTCACTTTGCAAGATTGCACAAATTTCGGCGGGCCGCCAAAGGCATGAGTTGAGTTTTAGAAAAGTTGACCTCGAGAGCGCGCGCGTGGAACCATTGCATCAGCGTCAGCGGCCCACAGACGAGAGACGAATGTTGGAAGGTTCATCTTCTTGCCCGCAGCAGGGAGCTGCGTGCCGTCCGTGCAGCGGACGACGACAGTTTCTTGGAGTACGGAGCCACGTCAACAAATATCGCGAACAAAAGAGGTTCTGGAGCTAGGCCCCGTCAAACGCCCGCGCTGCCCGGGAGCGTCTGTGACGTCGTCGTCCGCCCGCGCGGGCCGTCAGGGTCGGAGAGGGTCGCGATGTAACACTGCGTATGACCGTGCACACGGGTGGGCAGCGACCCAGGCGGTGACAATACCACGCAGACCCAGTGTGCACTTGAGGATGTCACGATCTGTGACGTCATCACATTTTCTTTCGTCGGTTGGGCAAAGAGGTATATTAGGCAACATATGATCGGGAATAATTACACATACTCCGCTGTCGGCGCCGATGAGGCTGCAGTCGACCGCCATTAGCCACGAGGTCTCTGTCGGGCGACGGGGACAGAGACAGCGCTGCGAGGGGACATGTGGCTGTCGTTAGGTAGTGCCAGCAGAGCCGACGCTGCACGACACGCTCGACCACTTTGTTTACGACTGGGATGATGGATAGGGGTCTGAGACTCTAAAGTTGGACAGATAGGACGGATCGTCGCATTCGAGAGTGAGACGGATAATGGATTGCGCCCATGAATCATGAAAGCATGACTGGGTGGGGTATAGAAATTCGTGGTGCGAAGCAGCATGTCACCAAGAGTCGGCAAGCTAACCTTTAAGATGAGGATACACAAACTGTCTTATACGCACGCTACCCATCCCAGCATCGTCAGTAGTAGGTGTCAGCAGCGTGATCGACTCGATCGGCAAAAACATGACGGCACAGGCCTCCACGCGTGGGATGCGGCAGCCAGCATCGGGCTGTACCCTGATCAGCGGCCTCGGCCGCTACCCCGGACCGCGCTGATGAGGAAAAGATTACCTCGGTGTGGGGAGCATTGGGCTTTCAGAAAGTTGAAACACTTACATGTCCAGGTTAGGTCAAGCAAGATGCACAGCCAAAAATGAACCCAAACAAGACGCATTTGACTTCAGGTCGCCGCGATAGTAGAGTAGAAGCCTTGTAGAAGCGAAGTAGAAGCCTTGCTCCCCTCCCGCGGGAGGGGAGCAAGGCTTCTACTTCGCAGAGAGAGAAAAGGAGAGAGAAGGGAGAGAGAAAGGGAGAGAGAGAGAGAAGAGAGAGAGAGAGGAGAGAGAGAGAGAGAGAGAGAGAGAGAAGAGAGAGAGAGAAGAGAGAGAGAGAGAGAGAGAGAGAGAGAGAGATAGAGAGAGAAGAGAGAGCGAGAGAGAGAGAGATAGAAGAGAGAGAGAGAGAGAGATAGAGAGAGAGAGAGAAGAGAGGAGAGAGAGAGAGAAGAAGAGAAGAGAGAGCGAGCGAGAGAGCGCTCTCGCTCTCGGGTATCTCCTCTCGCTCCTCTTCGCTCTCGAGAGAGGATAAGAGAGATCCCTCTCTCTTGCCTCTCATCTCGAGGAGAGGAAGAGAGAGAAGAGGCTCTTCTCTCCCGAGAGAGGAGAGAGGAAAGAGAGAGAGAGAGAAGAGGAGGAAGAGAGAGAGAAGGAAGAGAGAGAGAGAGAGAGAGAGAGAGAGAGAGAGAGAGTCAGTGGTGGTAATCTATGTTCACCCCCTCCACTTTAAAAACATAATTGTATGCAGATTATTTGTATGCTATCTAAAACATCTATTATGGTTTACCCAGTATATACCTCAAGGTAAGCCGGACAAAATTGATTGATATTTTTCGTCCCACACAATTCAGCTGGCAGGAAGCCACACATCAAACAAAGCGGTCCGACGATCAGTTCGTAGTGACATGTGGGTGGCGGTCGCCGTCGGTTGCAGCAGCTCGGACAGGCTGGGGGTTCTGACGGCGAGCAAGAGTAAGGCTCCGGCCAGAAATATCCGAAAAAAACATTCACACGGTTGACGATATTTCTCGTTTACCGCAGAACAAGCACTGGACCTTGACCTGGCCTTTGTCATATAAGATTTGGCGGACAATATTTCAAGCTTTCGAATCTCTTTGCGTAAAATGCTGCAAAAATGTTTGCTGCTTGAAAAAGAATGGTTGAAATCTCGGAACATTACCAATTCTGTGGCACTACGGACCATGCCACACACAAGTTGTTACTAATGAACCAAACCACGCCAAACCAGTTTTAGGCTGACGTGGCGCCAGCGTCTTCAGGATTCTTAAAGTTGATCAAACTTCTGTTGAGGGCGTGTTGCCCGAGAGCTTTTGGTTCTTACGCTGCTCGAAATTTAAGGCGTGTCAGTTACAGCCAGCAAGACAGAGCTGGTCTTGCCAGCTGGCCTTGAGAGCAGAGACAGATCTCTGGCAGTGTTTCATGGCCTATTTGTTTTATTCAGGAATTTGCGCACGCTACATCGCCCAAATATAAAAATTCAAGTGTGGAGCATTAGCTGAAGCTCATCGCCATTTATAAATAGTGATATAGCTCAAGCAGAATTCAGAACCCGTTTCCTCCGGCTGCCTGATGCAATTATTTTTTTAATCCACCCTGTTGGGAAATAAATATATAAATTCTGTGAAACGGAACGCTAGGTGACAAGATACCTAACGCTAGGTGACGATATATCTAATGTACAGCGCCGGGCCGCGGTCGTGCAGCAGACCTGCAGAAGGCCTGAAGCACGCCATGAGAAACAAGGGCCAAATAACACGTAAATCGGTTGCCTTACTCTTTGTTACATTCCTTTGCACGACTCGGGCGCATGCGTTCCAGTCGTGGCGTCTGCATTGTGACTGTGTAGATGTGATGCGGCTGAGGCTGGCCGGGGCTGCGTCTGGTGGGGCCGGCCAACCACTGCGCTGGCTGGCCGGGCCGGCTGAGCTACGGCTGACCGGGCCGACCGAGCTATGGCCGACTGGCCCAGCTGAGCTACGGCCGACCCATGTCTTGTGGCAGCGCCAGTCCAGATGTGTGGGTATGTGCACATGCTTATGCTGGGTTAAGGTCATAATTGAGTTTGTCGCGCTGCAACTGTGAGAATGCTGCGACCCAGTTAAGAGTCGGATTTGAAAGAGCAGTGTTCCCAAGAAGAACGGAGGTGTTAGCATGCCAATCAAAACAAGCAGTCTGAATTCAGCGCCTCGCATATGGATACTTAGGGGGCCACTTCCACTGCTACTAGTGCCCGTACCACTATCACTTACCACTGCCACACTTTACAACTGCCTCTGGCGCCTTTCATGCATAAATCGGATACTAATCAGAGACGCAGCCAAGGGTAAGATGGAGGGTAAGCCAGCTCCTGACCCGGTGTATTGATACCCTATGGGTACGAAGACCTCCATGCCTTTTGCCATAAAATTGACTGATGAAACATGAAAAACGACGCCCGTAGCATAGAAAAACGACGCCCGAGGCCTGAAAATACAACCCAGGCATAAGCGGGTCCACAACAATTGCAGCGCCCCAGGCGGCAAAGATGGGCCTCTTGGCTGGAAGACCTTCCGGTGACGCCATCTGGCTTCCTCCTGGGCGAAATCCTGGCTCCGCCATCGACGCTAATCACACCTAATTAGTGCGAAACCTCAGCCGCGGACCTGTGAATACCGTCGTGTGCCAATCAGCTCCCGCGAAGACAGCCGGCGGCTACTTCCCGCGAGAGCTGGGCGATGCGGCGCAGCGTTCCGAGTAGACCATCGAGTCTGGGTATTGGACTACATCGTGGTGTCTCGTGTTTCCAATGAGAAGGACTGTAGCGGGGTTGTCTCTCCGCGTTGACACAACGCAAAGGCCCTGACTGTGCGGCGGGAGCCTTTTCTCAGAGCGTCTGATCCGGCTGTTTGACACCGGCCGAGCCAGCACTGTTCAGCTCAGGTGTGTGCAAGTCAGGGAGTTAGAACCGCTTTTGAACTAGGGTGGGAGTGAAAAATTCCATCGCCAAAAGACCGTGCGGGAGTGAAAAAATCAATTCACAAAAAGATGGAGCTTATGAGCTCGTGACTGACGCTTCAGCAAAGACATCTATTCAAGTTGGCATGGACGTAATATCAAGAACCCGACAAAAATATTTCGTTTTTTGACATCTTAGGCCATGAAAGTGAAACAGAATACATTAACACGCCCCCAGGTGGGGGGGGGGGGGCAAATTCCCCCCCCCCCCCCCGAGGGCTTTTCCCGAATGGTTTCTGAACGGCGTGGCATAGTTGCGCCAAATTTTGCATAGCTGTAGAAAATTGCACAGCAGATCGTTTGACATACAAATTTTAGACGTACCTTGAAAGTTTGCTGACCTATGGCAGGCCAAAGTCAGCCATGGTTTCAGCGAAGGCAATTTTGGGGGAATCGTTCAATCTGATACAACAACGGAGTGTGTGACGAAGACATGCATCTCTTAAATGCTTTCTTAGGCCCAACAAACATTGAGTGAGCAAATTACGTTCACCTAAGGTCAGGTATGATGGTCAGACCAAGGTCAAAACCAACCTGATTTATCACCCTGGGGCTTGCAGTATGGAATAGTTTTTGGTGCTCATTTCGAATTTATTGACCGTAGGAGCCGCATTATACATCTTCATTTGACTTCTTATAGGGCAGAACAGGCCACTGACCTAACATGACCCGGGTCGAAGGTTTTGTTTTAGGAACACACTGCCTAGCGCAATCTTTGTCGCTTATTCAAATGCAAAACGCAGAGCAGTCTTGTATCATTTTGGTCACCATGACCTTCAAAGGGTCAAACAAGGTCAATGACCTCAAATGGCCTTGTGACTTTTTGCTTAGAGACAGTTGCCTTGGTTCTGGGGGCGCTTTGGAGACCAACCTGGAAATTGACCTTGTTGACCTTATTCGACCTGAAGGTCATCACCTAGGAAGCTGAAACCTTAACCTAAGTGAATTCACGTATAGGTCAAGACACCCTGTAAATTGGGTGTCTAGCTTTCTTAGTTACTGAGATCCCAGAGGGGGGCGTCAAATTGCCTCCCCCCCCCCCCCCCCCACCCACACCCGAGCGTAGAGTATCGAGCCGGCCAACCGGGCGCGTGTTAAAGCAGTCATTTCATGACAGTATTGTGAGCATAACAAATTATTAACACCAATAATTTGATGCTGCACTTTCCGATTCCCATCCACAGCAATTTTAAAACAAAACAAAGCGAGGGAATTAAATAACAAAATAACAACAGAAAATGCAACAAGCATAAAACACCCAAGCAAAAAAATATTGGACTCCTACACATCAGCCCATCACCAATAGACGTAATTCTGGCCTCTATTAAGATGAGGTCAGAGAAAACAAACATTTTGCCACTGTTTCTTACAAAATACCAATGCTTATTTCCATGAAAGTAGCTCATGCCTAACCTAAAGAGGCCTGACATCATCTCATCCTGTATAACCTGTTTGTATCACAACAGCAGTTGTGAGTTACTGATTCTTGCACAATTCCTTTTGCCACTTA